GTTCAAGAAACCCGAAGATTCATAACTGTGTTGTACCCTATCCTAATCTGCCTCAAATCCTATAAATAGATTTACAATCTATCACCTTAAAACTCAAACATTCTACTAATAATTAAACGATGACTATTCTAAACAAACCATAAGACATTGGAACACTATATTTCATTTTAATTTTACGCCCCTTTCTTTAAGTTAAATTTTCATGTTGTCCTCTATTCTTCAACCAGGTCTTCCACGTGGTTTCTTTAAGTTAGCCGACCGATTTTGTTAAGTTTGAGAGTATACAGAGAAGCAGACTGTCTAAATAATCGATGAAGTAAGGCCTACAGAATAAGTGGAACAAGAAATCGAAATCTTTCGTTGCAAATTAGGAAAGTGGTTAGTCCAGAGGTACTTCAGCAGCACGGCTATTCGCGTCTATGGACCTAAGGAGGCTATGGAAGCCATCTAGCCGCTGAATCCCTTGACCTCGTAGGCCTATAAATTATTACTTCCAAACCTCAAGAGAATATTAACAGTTAACGCTATTCAGTAACAAATACTTGTGCTTTCGTGTTGATCTAAACATGTTGAGCATTATCTCTAAATGAGCTTTTATCTAATGTAAAAGTTACGATTTATTTATGAAAAGTGTCGAAAGGTAACGAATAATAGGGAGGTCGTTCCTGTCCGTAAGCAGGTCCATGTTTGATCTCAAAAACTATAGAAAGATTTTTTTAATTTTGTAATTGAGGTTACCACTAAAGTTGTCGAGCGAATTTAATATTGATTTGTCGGATTCAAAGGTAAACAAGCCGATGTAACGGCTTTGGTTACCGTGTTACTGTACAGTAATATTTTGTAAAATATCGAGGGCAAAAGGGTCCTATTTGTATAATCGGAGATATTTAGTCAAACAACATAAAATTGTGGGATGTGTTATTTTAGAAGGGCGTAATGCTGATGCTGCTCTACACAGATATACAGACAGTTACTTTTGGGCGTATGAATTCCAATAATTTAGAGTTTTCAAACCAAAGAAGTGTAAGAATTTAGTCTCTTGTGGACCATTTTGTTGATACGCCCTTCTGGCATGATGTTCCCTGATATATAATACCCCTTTTCATCTGATACCGGAGAATTCTACTGTGACATGGAACTGTTACTATGACATATCTCGCACGATACCATTAGTTTTGTGTGTTTGTTTCATGAAATGTTACTCAGCCAAAGAAAGCCACTCCTATAAGCGGGAAATGAAATATGGCTGTGTTTTGACATCTTATCAGTTAGCTATTGCTCAGTATCTTTTGTCGATGCTTTGTTGCTTAGAGATTCAAGTTTCAAATATTTTGCAACCATAAATCTTTCTCGGGTCCAAACATTCCATTTGGTTACTTCACAATGTTTACATTATTTGTGTAAAAGAAGGCCACATATAGACCAGACTATTATTATTATTGTCCCATCTGCTCACCACTTTATAGGGTATTTACTTCTATATACCCGAGACAAACCTTGCCCCTAAGGTACATAGTGCAGCAGCTATTTCCGAAATGCATTTTGTTTTTAATACGTGTTACATTTATTATTATTATTATATCCCATCTATTCACCACTTTATGGGGTATGTACTTCCATGTACCCGAGACAGACCTTGTCCCTAAGGTACATAGGGCAGCAGCTATTTCCGGGATACATATTGTTTTTAACAAGTGCCAGCTAGTACAATACATGTGACACCAAACTACTTCCTTCATTTCTTCTCTTGTCAAAGCCACTCTTGTTTTTCTTGAGAGTCTTGGGTTTGTTGGCTGTTCGTGTCCATGGTTGGCCTGCGTTGAGTTGCCTCATTGCCGTAACCAACCTCAGCCCTTGGAGTACCTAGGCGACCTGTACTCCAGATCTTTGTCTTTCCATTCTTCGGTAGTAGCTGCACGGGATTATTTATCGAGGTTTACTCCTCTAGATCCGCCGTGTTCTGTTATATAACAGGGTCACCTCTAGTCGGATGTGGGTCTTCACCACGCACGGACGGTCTTGAGCAAGGAGAGGCTCTTGGATGCCTAGCATCTCTAAAGCGCTTCACTTACTCCTGGCTGGGTGAGGACCAGTGTCCAGCATAGTCAGACTATGATGGTGAAAGGTACTACCTCTCCCCATTACCTTAACCCCTTATTATTATTAATAATATTATTATTATTAGTGGTGGTGGTAGTGGTGGTGGTTTATTTCACAACAGACACTGTCAGTAGCTTAGATCAGCGTGTCTCAACTTATGTTTTACATAAGGAAATACGTTTGAATGAAAATGGCGTGGTGCACCGACTGGGAAACATTGCAGTAGAAGTGTTGCCTAAAATATCCCGCCCATAGCCGTCAAGCTGAAGTGTTTTCTTCATTTACAGGGCATCTAAAATAGAGGTTAAGAAAGAAGCTCCAAAATCAGTCATGCCTTAGTCGCAAGAAGTGCATAAAATGAACGCATTTCGGGGAGATCACATCTGTTCACAAATTCAGTATTTCCTGTAGAAATACCGCATTGTAGTGCCCATACAAAAATTTGTCTGGCGGTTTTAATATTGGTTCTTGTCGGTCCAGTATAACCTATTATGAACCAAATCTAATTTTGTATTTTTCTCCAACAGACGGTCAGAACATTGGTATATATCATGAACTATAAAGCTTCTCAAAATCCATGACTTTTATTTTATACATGACTTAATTGTGTGGAAAAGGAGGTACAAAATATTGTGCCCCGTCTGCGAAGAGCTGGAAGATACTAAATACATTATTTTAGGCATTTTTTTTTTAAAAAATGCAACGTGTAGTTGAATTAACATGAAATTAGTTTTGATATTGTTGTCGTGGCAACAGATTCTACTGTATGTAAAAGGCAAGTAACTGCGATTTTAAATTGAGAGACGTAGTGCATAAGAAACGGAAACAAAGGGACTTGAATGGTGTAGAAAGACAAATGTATATAAATTTTGTTCTCTAGAAATGTGTGCATTATACTAACAGTAGTCCCCTACGCCACAATAAGCAGGTGTTAAGTGTGCGGGACCTCATGTAAATATAAACCTTCTATCTTACAAGTGATGACTGAAGTGATTTCAACTTTATGACGTCTCAAACAAACACAGCGTGTAATTCCATATTGCCGTACCACGGCCTTGGCTATGGAATCCGTATTCAATACACATCTCTACACCGACCATAAGCTCGAACCTTCCTTATGACACTGCGCAAGCATATTACTAAACATGTGTTGCTTTAAGAATTGTTAAAAACGTGACGTCTACATCAAAAACATTTTCATCTTTCGTATGTCTTCCGAATCCTTATAAAAGTATCGGTATAAAACATACATGTTCTGAGTATTTTCAAGGAGAAAGCAGTTCTGTATTCTAAACCATAAGTGAAGAACGACGAACGAACAGACTCGTTAATTACCTAATTAGTGAATTAATGCATTTTTCTCAGGCTACCAGCCCTGTAAGGTGACTTAATGAAGAAAACACCAACGTTTCTAGAACCGTCTTCGTCCTCGTAAATTAACAAGCGAAATAACTGTCTCTTGGCAAGATCAAAGTAAGGACGGACGGATAACTGACTAACGTAACTGCACTGCACTGACATATTTCCTGAATAGCACTAACATGAGAGATTAAATGACTCACCGATTGGCAGAATTATACTGAGAAACCAATTGAGAGTGTTGCATGCAATATCAAAGGTAAATAATTTTAAGTCCACGTAAATTAATTATAGATGTTGCAAATGTGCAAATGCATGGCAGGAAATTGAATGTTTCAATCCTCTATCCTTTCTAAGCAGCCCAGTTTAGCCTCTATGTTCGAAAAACTGTCCACCCCTGGCGAAGGACTTGATAGGGACAAGGGTAACTTTGGTGGATGCTGGTACTGAGACAAAGGAGACACTCGAAACAATCAAGAGCACACGCGGGCATCTGGAACAGTGGAGTCGCTGCCTCGTGTCTTTTATGTGCACGAAAAGGAGATCAGAGTTGTTTTTGATTTGTTTCTCAGATCTATTGCGTCAGACGAAGCATGGCACCTATCAGAGTCATGGCACCCCAGAATTATGCATAACAACTCATTATGCTGCTTGCAAAATTTGTAGGAGTGTACATTCTACGATATTGGGGCTGGATGTTTAGTTGTAACGGGTTTTGCTGTCAAACGGTGAACTAAATACAGATTTCGTGCGGCCTCCTTGCATTAATTTTAGGTTCCACACAGTGAGTAGCCTTGATAAAAGTTGCATATTTTTTGACAGGCTTTGGTCATATAAAAATAAGCCTCTTTCATAAAGTGGCGCTAATGCCAATCCATCTGAACGACAGCTATATTTATATTTTTTAATGGTAATTCAATTTTTTAAAGAGGTGAAAACATCGTGTCACGTAACATCACATATTTCATAAAATGTATTCATTGTTTAAGTTCAATACAACTGTCACTTCCTGGCTCCCGGAACGATCTGCTATGATGTAATATTTTTTCTCTTGCAGAACAGTACTTATCCGGTATCGGGAAAACCTTGTAGCCCTTGGCGGTGAATGGAAGCGACAGTTGCGTTGAAGTATATCTGAACGCAATGTATTTAACTTGCTTGTGATATGTGCAGTGGTAAAAGAACGTTGCAGCCGAATCGTTAGCGTTCAAGCTTTGTATTCGGGAAGTCGGGATTCAGATCTTGGTGGCTTTCCCTAATCCCTCCAGGCAAATGCTAAGATTAGGCCAAGACCAATTTCTTCCAGATCCTTTCCAATTCATTTGTAATCCTATCATTCGACGCTATACAATCCGAGGTATTTACAGCATTGTTAAATAAAGAAACCAATATTTGTGCAGTGGCGGACTTCTGTAATGCCTGTGATGAATTTTCGGGTTCCATAACAAGTTCAGAACGTCAGAACCTCTTAGGGAGGACGATTAGTTTTCAGTTGTTGAAGTATTTTCAGTATCCGTGAGTGTGTGTCCCGCTTGTTCCAGGGAGACAGGGACTACATAGGATTTGCGACGCTTCCAGAACAAGTACACCGGAAATCGGTGAAGCGAGGCTTCGACTTCACTCTCATGGTTGTCGGCGAGTCCGGCCTCGGGAAGTCCACACTCGTCAACAGCTTGTTCCTCAGCGACTTGTACAAAGACCGGCGAATACCGGAAGCCATCGGTAAGTGTTGGGAACGAATCGTGAGGCTAGTTTTCTTGCTATAGCTTCTATATGAAAGAAAAAACACGCTAGCAAACAATTTATAAGGCAAATCGCGATTATAAAGAAACTCGTATGACCTAAACGGTTCTCCTTCTCAGGTATGTTTTCATTTGATGCTGATACATTGCTCGTACATTGAGTACATGTACAAATGATATTGTGAGATTTGAGATTTTCAAGGGGCGCGTATGTAGATGTCTCTTCTGGGTTGTTGCTATTACTCGGCTCAACAACCCAGAACACGTGAGGCTTTAGTCACATTACCTTCAAGTTACATGGTTATTATAGCAAGATTATTCGGTAATGTGTCCGGCAGCGAATTAGATGGCCGGAATTTGCTTCCTGGAAGGAAAGTTGTGGTTTTTACTTCGCCATCACATCATAACAAGTGATTTGCTGCACACGTCTAAAAAACTCATCCCATCTCCCTTGTCAATAGCTGTGCCGTTCTGTTCAAACTATACTTAATTCGGTTTGCGTGATGTATTTTAGTTACGACTTTAATTCGGTTATCTAGAACGGAGACGAATAGACTGACGGCCAGTAAACGTTTGCACATTTTTGCACATCTCTGCTAAGAGTCATAATTAATCGGTTTAACTACACCGGAAGTGGTAATAACTTGGGCTTGAGTTTTAAGTTACATATTTAAACAGTAGTTTACCAGACGAATTTTAGAACATCCTTATTTTCGTCGAGTACGCATTGGGTCTTTTTGCTACAATTGTGAAAAAAATTGCTCTACTCAGACGGCAATAAATTACACAGTGATTTAAGTCCATAAGGGCACGAGGTCACTGTTGCTATTTGCCGAGCTCAGTTCAAGTGGGGAGTACGGTTTATCTCGGCTGATGGTTATTTTCCTCCTCCTGTCACCTCGCCAGTTGAACCACATGCACTTGAACGGCGTATCAGAGAAGTTTAAAACAGAAAACAGGGGTAACCGGCGGCCGGTAGATGCGTTTTTTGTGGCCATCGTACATTTTTTTGCAGTATTGTGACGGCCTATATGATAAAAATATACACCGATATTATAAAAACGTCTCATAATGCTCGTAGAAAATGACAGTACCTATACTGTGACCAACTTACGGCTTAAAAGAGAAATTAAACTCAAGAACTAACACGTGTCTTTATGACGAACAGTTGGATGCACGCGAATCGCAACAACAGCCTGACCTGACCTGACCTGACCTTACCTTACCTTATTCCCCGCTGGTGTGGTCAAGGCTCTGCCTTGACTGACTGGTTCCTACATCTAAAACCGATTCTACCCCCGCGGCTTACTCATCGCTCTGATGATGGAGGCAGCAAGGACCTCTGAAGGTTGGTAAACTTCTGACAGACCACACCGCGCCACAACCCAGAAGACAACCATCTTCGCACTCACCGTAAGAACCTCGAATCAACAGGAAGTACAGTTTCTAATAAATTGCCTATACGTTTCAACAAATTGTCCTCATAACCTTTTGACTAGTTTTTTTCGGGGGTTGTTGAGGGTTCACTTGGTGTCCACTGTTGAAACACGTGCAAAAAATACCTCGGATTACATCAATACAAGAATGACGCAAGACGCAACAACGCCCTCAGATCACATTAGTGGAAGAATGACCTAAGGAGAAACAATGCCTTCAGACAGCAAAAGTGCAAGAATGGCCTAGAAAGTAACAATGTACTTTTATCACAAAATACAGCAGTACGTACGTGATGTCTCCAAAGAGAACACTTTTCTAATATTGTTTTTCAAGTGCGGACTTTGGTTTATATGCTATCTATTTCCATCTTACATGCCACGAAAACTCCTGAAGTTACATGAACATGAAAGTTGAACAGGTAAGAATTTGGAAGGAGGCGGCCGTGGTCTACGTATTTCAACGTACTGTCCGGAATTCTGTAGAGACTGAGGAAAACATGCCCTCTTTTTGTTCTGAACATTGTTCGGTGCATATAACGAAGTACATAGAAAACAATGTGTTTGTGTGCAATGTGATATCCTAGTGTTGGCTTTGACAACAGGAGACAGTACGCATCTGTGTATCGTGGTACAGAGTTAAATTACTTTGTAACAGTAGTTTCAAGGTTTATATGTAACAACCGGACATCAGAAGAATGAAATATTCAAATCACGAAACACGCATTTGAAGAATACAAGGTGTATTCCAAATTGAAATTCCATGCATTTTATATATTGTAAATTACAAAACAGCTTGTTTAAAAATATAAACAAATCCGGAAGACCAGCATTAAACATTATTTTGAGTACGTTAATTCATAAATTAACATTAATTTTCGTTTGACTAATTCAGGAAGTATAAATACTGATTTATCTTTTACAGTTACCACCTTATTACTGCGCCTTCGAACTGGATGTCCCATTATTTTAAAAGTGACTATTCCCCCCCCCCCCATAAAAGTATCGAGTTGAACGCATAAGTAACAAATACTAATAGGACCAAGCAAGTAGACAAAAATCGGACCCAACGTAATAGGTTTACGAGGCTCGCTGTATATTCACTCTTATCTGGAATGCCTGTGCAGTTAGCAACACAACAAATCGGTCGTCACGGTGGGTTGCATAACGGCGCGGGATTCCGCAATAAGGAACAGAACCACATATTTACTTTGTGTTTTCACTCTCTTCGTTTTCGTCTCATCATTTATGCACATGCAATTTCTTTCAGACATATAAGACATCTTAACATTAATAAGATGATTCGGTCTTCTGGGAAGGACAATTCTTCCAGTGTAGATGGTGTTGCACAATCTTGACACGATCTTCTGGATGAGGAAGTGTAACTTATTCTGTATTACACTCACGCATACTCCTAGCAAATACGCGCGTAATTCCAACGGCGTGTTAATACAAGCTCATGTTCTTACAGATAGAGTTGAAAAGACAACATGTATAGAAAAGAAGACGATGGACATCGAGGAACGGGGAGTGAAGCTTCGCCTCACGGTTGTAGATACGCCTGGTATGTATTCCCAGTTATTACCGTGGTAGAAATAAGTTTTAAATTGCGTTCGATGTCTGTCTGGGTGAGCTGTAGAACTGCTCTATGAATTTCTTCTTGGGTTTTGTGAGCCACTACGTTCTAATTTTTGTGAGGAACCATAAAGTGTATATTGTTGCCATTATTTTAAATTTCTTAGCAGTATTTGGTCAAAGGACTTCTGTTAATAACGTTTGATGGATTTTATTTTAATACGATATTTAAGAGGAGAGTTTGGGTATTTTTATTTTATAACGTTTAAAAGTAAAATATTCTAAATTGTGGGGAGCTCCTCTTTGAAGTCCGCATGGCTTTACAACCCAGAATACCCGTAGGACTTCTAGTTTTCACTGCGGTGAGTCCGATGATGGCTATCTTGTGGGTTGTAGCGACGTGTAGTCGGGCAGAAGTTTACCGTTTCAGAGGTTATTGCTGCCTCCATCATCAGGGGGATCGTCCCTCGTTTCTACTCAGTGGAATAATAACTTGCACTCAGGTTTCGGTGACGCGATAAACTGTGAGGAGAGCTGGAGGGCGTGCTGCTCATACATCGACGAACAGTTCCGCCAGTACTTCACGGACGAGAGCGGACTGAATCGCAAGAACATCCAGGACAACCGCGTCCACTGCTGCCTGTACTTCGTGCCTCCTTACGGCCATGGGTACGTGCATTCCTGGTGTCTTAATGGTACGTGTCAGGCAAATCAGAGAAAATAAACAATGTAAGGGTGACGTGCTGGAACGTGCATAGTTCAACGCCGACCAGCGCTAATCAGCTGTCAAGCGGCCAGTCAGTCAAATGACGAAATCAAGTTAAATGGTTTTCTTCGCTTGACCCGACGTCTTCACCCTACTGATGGTCCTCTTGATATTTTCCACCGACGCAAGACAGGATTTTAGAGGACAACCAAAAAGAAACAAAAAATTAAGCAAATCAAGATGTTGCTATTGATACACGCGCGTTTCATGTCCATGCCTTTGTAATCTCGTTCATACGTACTGCATGCCACGTGAAACGTTCTGATAATTCTTTCTGTTTTGTTAAACCTCTGGTGACTGGACCGGGAGTTCAACACACAATCTCGGCACCAAGGCACTTCTCATCTATTACTGTTAACGTGTTTCAGTAAGATGCAGCGTAATATTACCCTCAAATCTCCTTCTCTGCCAAGTAATTTTCTTACCAAAAATTCTGTACACATTTCTAGCCTCTCCTGAACGTGTTGAATCTGTCAGTTACTATACCAGCCATGGTTTTGTTTTGCTGTTGCAGGCTTCGCCAGATCGACTTGGAATTCATGAGGCGCATGCACCGGAAAGTGAATATAGTGCCTGTAGTAGCCAAAGCCGACACCCTCACGTCTGCCGAGATAAAGCGTCTCAAGAACCGCATCATGGCTGATATCGAAGATAATAAAATTCAGGTTTAAAAGATTTTTTGTTGGGGGGGGGGGGGCAGATGTCTTTCACTGGAAACGTAGCTGTGTTTATTGTAATACAACCGACTGTTCAGAATATTTATTATCTGCTTCAAAATACGCGAAGGTAACGAAGAGTGTTCTTCTCACAGATAGGAACTACCCCAAATGTGTTAATGCCATCAAACTATTTTGTTTTCAATACACGTCTTATGGTACTTTCTTTTATTTTCCTTCTCCTACCGTTTATCTTCTATCTTTCGCCGTAAACTGTAGCCAGTCACGTTTTGGAAAAAAGTGACATTTTTAACAATTTTAGGCCCGAAGTTCAATTAATAATGCCTAAGAGTTTAGTTCTTATCTCGGAGAAAACACAATCTACATCCATTACAAAGATGAATTGGTAAATGTTGTTTAAGAAAACGATCGCTCTTTCTTCTATCAACATATGAAATTAATGTGGCATGTTTGCAAAACGCAGAGTCATTAAAGCGTGTGTTACGTGTACTATCACTGTGCTTATAAGGGTTAAATAAACAAGACGGTCGACACGGTATAGATCTAACTAAGCTTAGTGTGTGTTTGCAGATTTATCAGTTTCCAGACTGTGACAGTGACGAGGACGAGGAATTCAAGCAACAGGACCGGGAGCTGAAGGCCTGCGTTCCCTTCGCCGTGGTGGGCAGCAACACCGTCATCGAGATCGCAGGAAATAAGGTGCGGGGGCGGCAGTACCCCTGGGGCGTCGTTGAAGGTTAGTTTTAATACGACCTCACATTATTAAGCTTCCAATTTGTAAGTGTGTAATTAATTATACATCGATCAGTTCGCAAGTGTGGAATTATTTTCCGCTCCTTTAGCTCGATTTACCTTACCAAATGGTTTGTTGGATATAATTAAACGTGTACCCTATCTCCTACGCACATAGTTCTTTTAATAATTGCATGCTTTTTCTTTGCAGTCGAAAACCCTAAGCATAGCGACTTCATCAAGTTAAGGACAATGCTTATCTCCACGCACATGCAGGACCTGAAGGATGTCACACAGGATGTTCACTATGAGAACTTCAGGGCGCAGTGTATCTCCCAGATTTCACAACAAGCAATTCGTGAAAGAAGGTAAAAGTCTTTGCAAGGGCTTAGATAATTTTCATTTTGCTGTAAGGAATAACAACCGACGCTTGCATTGTTATGCGTCCTTTAAATCAACTTCATAGAATTAAGGCATAATAACATGTTTATCAGTCCACGTGTTTCATCACAGAAACAACTCGCTGATCGCATAAGAAAACGCGATATCCCTTTCTTTATTTATTGGTGTTATAAAAATAATTTGTTTCAAAATTACGAAACTTTCAAGAACAAATAATCTTAATTTCTTGGATTCTTGCTGCAACTGTAGGCACAATTCTCTGTTTTTGTGTTTTTTGCACCACTCTGGATATCCAAAGTTAAATATGGAAAATCTTGTAGGCGACTGAGTTGTATAATAAAATATCTATGGTTAAATTATTAGTGCAACTTATCCAGAAATTTTGTATGTATTGTTTGGAAATCGAAAAAACGTAACCTGTGGAATTGAAGCGATTACTTGACTAGAATTTCTGTAACATATTGCTGATTTCTGTTTTTGTTGTTTCAGCAAATTGAAGCGAGATTCGGGGCCTCAGTTTGAATCGAGCATCACGGATACAGACCGTTTACTGCTGCAGAAAGATGAGGAAGTAAGTAACTGCTAAAGTTTTCTAACACGTGTGTTCTCAAACTGTCTAGAGACAATCGCAAAACACCAAGTTAGGTTCAGGAGCTATTGTCATCCCTGTGTTTAAGCTCTACGTCACGGAGGAAGAGCGCGGAAGAATAGCCTTGTACATTGTCCTCAGTGCTATATGGAATAATTTTCACGACCCATTCATCCGCCTTCTAAATTAGTGACGCAATCAATTATCTATTTACAAATTTCTCCCAATCATCTATTCATTCCTGTCTAACTCTTCATCCATTCATCAATCGATCCTTATTCATCTCCTAACCGTTCAATCACCCAGCTGTTCATTTATTCATCCCTGTACCCGTCAGCCCATCTAAGAACAGATATTTTAACTGAGGCCACGTCGTAGTAGTCGCAGTTATCGTTTTCCTGCCACGGTTTATGTTTCTGCTCCAGATTCGCCGCATGCAAGACATGCTGACCCAGATGCAAGAGAAGCTGAAAGCGAAAGGTCATGGTCCGATGTTCAAGCCCCAACTCAACAGCCCCAAGTCTGACGGCGACAATAAGCGAGATAGCATTGTGAATGTGTAGTGATCTTAGGAAATGAGAGTTGAGATCAAGGTAATTACGAAGGTATATTGCAACGAAGCTGCTTCAAGTTTCGAGACTAGCTAAATATTGTTTGTCTGTCATTATCTTGAAAATGAAACGTGTGAAAAATACCTTACTCATATCTTATTCTTCGACACTGCAGGTGGATACAGAGAGTCTATCTAAATGTTAAAGCAATCGAAAGGAACATCACACGAATTAAAAACACTCACGTAACATAACATATTTCTCTTATTAAGGGCTACAATTTTCGTAACAAATAGTTTATTAATATAGAGAATATATATATAAGCCTAAAGTATCTTTAGGCCTTCATATAAAATGAAATTATCCTACAAGTTTTAAATTTTGAGCCAAGATAACATTAGTTCTTATGAAGAACTATAGAACAGAATTAATTCGAAATCTGTTCATCTAGGGTGTAGTATAATATCATATGCGTAGATGGACGCCCATGAGGAAAGTTTTACCCTGCCAGATAACGATTAATTTTGAATTAAGAAATTTATTAATTATACTTCATTCAAGATGCATATAGGCGAAGCCTGATTGCCTGTTGTGCTGTTAAGAGTCAGAAATCTCGTAAAACGTGCTGATACTCATGGACAGAGACAAGCAGTATTTAATATGTAGGTTTTGAGGTTTTCGTGGTGGTGAGTTTGAATATGGCTGTCTTCTATATTATACAGATGCCTGTAAATAGATGTGTCTGAATTGAGTTACGCAGAAATTCTGAGGAAATACATTTACTACTTGCAATTTTTTCTTTGTAAACACCACTGTAAGTGGAAAAACACTATTTAAATATATTTAGAAGATATTAAATACGGGTTTCCTAAATCTTTTTCTAATAGATAATTTTCCAGGCTAAATGTGTTTACGAAGTGCGGTGTGTTTCATTTAAAGCCTATCTGGACGTGGTGGTCAAAGAAAACAACCCTTCCGGGAAACGAATGCTGGTTGCCTGCAGTCCGCAGCCTGTCATTTTATTGGCTAAGATATCCCGCCTCAACTTATTCGAATCTTAAAGTCGCTATATGAATAAAAGGAGTGAGAAGTTATGCCCCAGTTTCAAATGTACAGTTTATAAATGTGTAATTTGCAATTTCGCATCCCTCCTTAGTCTTTGAGTTCATTTTTTGGAGATAAAAATACAATACACATAATTTACAAAAATTTGTTGTTAAAAAGACTAATAAACAATGGAAATAGTGTGCTGAATGTCATTTTCACTTTGTGTTACTTTATTATGCGCTATATGAAAACGGTTCAAATGAAAGAAGTATAATTTTCTTCACATATATTTCTATACACTTTACACCATTTTTGAGAGTGTGCGCATGCGGTCTGAATATCCGAATTCAGGTACACACTAATTTGCGTTTTCCTGTGTCTATGAATGTGTGCAATGGGTATTCTTTTACATAATAAATGTTACCAATGTTTTCACTGCCATATTAAATACATACATGTCACTTGATTTGAAAGCACAAACTTTTTCAATACCGAGTCTTTAAGCTGTCAGCGTTTCTGAATGTATGAGACATATTTAAGCTTGCAAAAGTATCATGGCCTGGCATAACAGCTCCATCCGTGCATGTAGTTTTACATTGATATCTGGGCCGACAGAATCTCGTATTCAACGCTGGGGTAAAATGGAAAATGTGATTTTAGATTATCAATAAATCCCCAGTTTGATAGGCTGATCGAAAAGTAATATCTGGATCAATTAACGATTCTTAGGTTATTTTACGAATCTGTTTTAATTTCATGGGTAATGCAACTTAGAATGAGAGGGAAGTGAACATTAATGTTGAGTATAGAAGGAGGTAAATCGTGACTTTATGAATGCCAACATTTTCCTGCGGGAAGTACGAAAACCCTCAGCCAGACGAGCTGACAGCCCCACCCAGATTCGAACCGGTTGCATCCTAAATAGAACTCTACATCTCGTAAGAAAATTAATTCACTAAAACTAAAGGGACATAGGAAAAGAAGTAAAGAAGAAACATGTAGTAAATTATAATATAACTTCCCGGATAAAGCTTCACGATTGCCGACTACAGATCTTAAAAAGAAAATCATTGTAATTTCTGCAAACGTAAAGAAATTTTGAGAATCTTACCTATTATATCAGTATAATCATTCCTTCAGGTTACGGTTCAAGGAGCTAACCTTACCGAATCACACGATTAGTTTGGCCATTTTCTTTAGTAACAATTTGTTTGCCCTCACCCTTATTCACCATTCATAATTATTCCATCATATCTCATTCGGCGAGCAAGATCTGAGCAGTCAGATTGCGGGACAACGCGTTATAGTGTCGGCAGCTTATTGTTTCCATCCTCACGTACTATGTAGACAACAAGCAATACAACATGATGAGTTGTCTTGTCATCCGATGAATAAAACTAGATTAAATGCACATAATTTTAGTCACAATGGCGACAAAGTCATTTTATTATAGAGTCCATCCATCTGAAAGTCTAATTGAGATTTACAGGGTTACTAAAGCTTTGACAAACACTGATAGTATGCCAGTTGTGAGTTCTGATTTTCACTTAACAGAATTTAACTCTAAAATTCAACAACTATCAGCTTTTATTAATTTATACGTGCTGTATCACCTACAGAATTTGTTTAGAGTCGAGTAAAATATGGGTATAATGAATGGCGAATTGGGAAGGAGTGAAAGTGATCTACATCGATATATTATCTCGAAACTCACTCTCAGTTGCTGAAGAGCAGCATGAAGTAATCACTAATACTTCCCAGATACAAGTCGGTCACGATGATGAGAGAAATAACACTGCCTTCGCCTTAAAGAAATTATGTTACACTCAGTGGTGAATAGGTGCAGAGATTTTTAAGCACCTTGTGATCAATATTCACGTACAGTACGTGAGAAAGCCTACACATTTGTCTCTAATGCAATAATGTTAGAATGGTTCTATTACCCAATACATCAGTGGTGATGAACCCACTTTTATTGCACGAGACCAACTTAAACAGCTCAAAGATCTGCCAGTGTGGCAAACCACACGGTAACAATAAAATTAATTGTTTACTGAATAAATTTATACTGTTTTCAGTTAAGAATATTTGTAGTAACATAATAGAATAACGCATATTCCTACTACTCTTACCTCTAATTTTATGGATGGAAGAAAATCGATAGAATTTCCTTGGAATTGCTTCTTTGTCACCAACTTCTCATTATCTGCGTGTTTGTAAATGTTAGTATTTATTGGGCACAGTGGGAAGTCTATGGGTCGTTCATTACGCACCAGACACTGACAACCACAGCATATAAACTCAATATTTTGTACGTTATTGTAATAAATAATTATAACTGAAGTGACTGAAAGACTGTGAACTTATACACTACATGTTTCCTAAGGCCGATATTCCAAGCACACCGTGGCCAGTTCTGTCACAATGTTTCAGTGGGTACTTAGAACTATAATAACATTGAAGGGTAACCTAGAAGAATGTCATTTTCATGTTTAACATAAAATTACTGAAATTTTTCTTAAAGTTAAATGAGTGTGTTTTAAAAGTACATCCTCAGTCACATGATAGAAAATTCCCAGCACACGCGTAATTATTTATTGTAGTCGCGTTTGACTTGGTGTATTCTGGAGTGTCCATCTTGCAGGATTTAATACCTCCGTACTGCTGCAGTTAGGAGCAACTTATGCGTCCCATCGCGACCTTTCTATCTTTCCCTTGACGCCCGTACGGGCTTCCTTTTTAACCTATGGAACACCCAGAGTTAAGAAAACACTACAAATTTTATGGACTCTTCCTCTGATGTGGCCACCCCCTATATAAAGTAAAATTTGCGAATGAGGGAAAAAGGCAGAATTTCACCACATTTTAGCTGATATGTTACCAATAAATTTCCCATAAAATCTCACAATTAGTCATCAGTTGCACCACGATACTGAACTTAATGAAATTTCCCATGTTCCCCCAAGTACGCCAATAAAAATTATTATCCTCCTTAATTCGTAGCGGTTGTTCTGTTCATACGGACGGTAGAAGTCTTTGGATGTGAATCGGGCCACTGCATGGAATCTACTTTCATAGCAAATAATAAGCAACTTTGACAAACATGCAAACTACAAGCGGGATTCGAATCTGAAACTTCAGACAGCACTAAATCAAATGATGAATAGCACGTGTGCCATTAATTCACAAATTTTGTTGTACGACATTCTGAAATGTACCTATAATGTAGTTGACCTATTGGCATACTGTACGATTATTGTACTCGAAATATGTCTATGATATCCGAATATTTCATCATAATACCTGCAAATGATAGCAGTATTCTCTTGTAGATACACTCTACAGCATCTGTTGCCCAATAAGTAAATTACTTTGACGACTTTTATCCAGTGATTTTTTTGTCACACAAATGTATAGGCATCCAGCAGCCATTAAAGTATGCCAGTAGGTTGGCAGCTAGCCCTTCAATTGCTAGGTTCTGGTGTTGTAGGGTACAGATGGTTCAGTGTATATTCATTATCGATTACGTATCGTTTTTTTTCACAAAACGTGGCGAATTCAGGTAATGAAGCATACTTTCACACATTGTTTTATGTAATTGGATGTAATTTGTATTTATACTGATAGACAAGGTTGTACAATTTAATTACACAATGACTGATGGAATAAATTACAAATTTACTGTATTGAACGAAATTATATTTAATATTATAATTTGACAAAATACTCTCGGGCAACAAGCCTTCTCCGCCTCCATCATCATGGGAATGATAATGGAGGCAGGAAAAGTGTCCAAAATATCGGACTTTTGTCCAGAATTGTTAATGCTTGATAAACGAGAGAATTTTATATAGTTTCGTCGTGGTGGAAGCTTCGAGTATATATTGCTATTATCCTGTCCACTCACTTTTCCACCACAAAAATTTTGTGCGACACATGGAGAAAGAACTGACTAATTCAACGATACAGAACTTTCATGAGTAGAATGTGATTATTTAATTAATCTGCAAATACTTTACTGTAATGTGGCTTGAAAATGCACGACAGTGTTCACAAAAGCCCACCACTGACACACATTCTAAATCGAATTAGTGCAGTTCAGATCTTACTGTTACCGTTTCCTAATTCGAATTTTAATATTCT